GTCACCTCAGATAGATCTGTTTGCGACCAGTCTCAATCACAAACTTCTAACATTTGTGTCTCCGGTTCCAGATCCAAAATCTTTTGCGGTAGACGCAATGAGCCTATCTTGGAAAGGAATGTTCGGGTACGCCTTCCCTCCTTTCAGGTTTCTCTCCCCAGTACTTCAGAAAATAGCAGGGGAAAATTGCAAGATCATAGTTATTGCTCCAGCATGGCCGAAACAGTCTTGGTTTCCAGACCTTCTGCGCCTATCATGTGCTTGTCCTCTAGTTCTACCTCTGAGACCAGACCTTCTGTCTCAAATCAAGGGCAAGGTTCTTTATCAAAATCCAGAAAAACTTCATCTACACGCCTGGCTTCTCTCAGGGTTAGCCTCAGAAAGAGAGGTTTTTCTGAAGGAGCAACCAAGCATCTCACAAAGTCTGTCAGAGACTCCACTAGCATTGTCTATGATGCAAAATGGTCAATCTTCTCAGATTGGTGTAGTGAGCGGGAAATTGATCCTTTCCAAGTCACTGTACAACAATTAGCAGACTTTCTAGTTTTTCTTTTTGAATCCAAAGGATTATGTCCCTCTACTATTAAGGGATATAGATCAGCTATTTCAAGAACTATTCATATTTCTGGTGGCCCAGATTTTGGAAACAATGAGCATATTTCTCTTTTGGTTCGTAGTTTTAGTCTTGAAAGACCAAGACAAAAAACTTTAGTTCCTAAGTGGGACCTTGGACTAGTTTTATCCTTTTTAAAACTTCCTCCTTTTGAACCAGCAGAAACAATAGATTTAAGGTTTCTTTCCTATAAATGCTGTTTTCTTTTAGCTTTGGCTTCTGGACGGAGAAGGAGTGAAATCCATGCCTTCTCTATTTCTGATGCTTGCCTTCGATTTAACAGGGATAAATCTTCTGTTACTCTTTTAACGGATCCTGCTTTTTTGGCAAAGAATCAGATTCCAGATAAGGGTGCAGAATCAGTCGTGATTCCTGCACTCCCTAGCGATTCTATTTCTGTACTTTTATGTCCAGTAAGAATCCTTTCTATTTATCTGGATAGAACGAGTAGTTTACGTTCTGTTTCTAACTCAAGACTCTTTATTCCTATTAAAAAAGGAATCTCAGATCTTTCTGTTAAAACTATTTCTACTTGGATATGCAAATGCATATCTTTAGCTTATGGTTCTTCTAAGTCAGAACTTTTAAATAGTTTTAATGTTAAAGCTCATGATGTTAGGGGTATCTCTACATCCTGGGCTCTGTTTAACAGTGCATCTTTAGAAGAGGTACTGTCTGCAGGTTTCTGGAGAAATGAGAACTCTTTTATATCTCATTACCTCCAATCTATGGCTACTTTTGCCGAGAGTTTATACTCTCTTGGACCTATAGTTTCAGCACAAAGATTGAACTTTCCTCCTGTTTCTTCTGTTACAGGGGATTCAGCTTTACGTTAGATTCTGTTACTCAGAATTTATGATGGTAACGTATTTATAGCTATAAAATATTCAAATTTTAAAGTAAATTTGGATTTTATTAGATAAATACTTACCATCATAAATTATAGGTCCCACCCACCTCCCCTTCATCCCCTTTCCCTACGTTTCTGTCTTGAGGAAATTGAATGGGAGAATATGGGCAAACAGGGGTATATGTCCGGACCAGTGAGAGTACGTTTATTTTTAGTCGGGATTTTCCATCTGACCTATGACGCAATTGGGGTTACACTCAGAATTTATGATGGTAAGTATTTATCTAATAAAATCCAAATTTACTTTAAAATTTGAATATTTTATTCATTAAAAAAGGGGTGATTTTCCAGTTTTCTGACAATACATTGTTGTAAATCAAAAATGCTGTCACCAATTCTCATGAAACTTTGGTGAATTGTTTATATCTTTTGATGTAAGCTCCCTTTTTATTTCCATAAATTTCTAATATGACATTGAGAATTAATTGAACTTTAGTTGTTTATAGTCTGACAACAGATTTACTAAGTATTGGGGACTATTGCACAACAGCAAGAAATCTTTAATTGAATATAAATTCAATTCATATAACCAATTTCAAGTTCTTTGACTACATTTATTCAGAAACCTATAATATGTCAAATATTTAATTACAATCCAAATTCAGACCTGAATCAAGCTTGAATATTGTGTCCATTTTTGCCCCAACTGTTCAGGGTTGGACCTCTGCAGGCGTATCTAGCTGCGCTCAGCGAAGCAGTTTATTGTGTTTTGGTCTGTTTTACTTCAACTATAAGCAATAGATCAACTATATTTGATGTATGGAAGGATTGTAAGGTGTATATGTCTGTCTGGCAGGTATCATCTGACCTTGACTTCATTTTCATGGTTCATTGGTCAATGTTAAGTTTTCATGGTTAAGTTTGTTTCTTAGATACTATAAGCAATAGGTCAGCTATATTTAATGCCTAAATTGACTGTAAGGTGTACATGTCTCTCTGGCATGGTTCATCTGACCTTCACCTCATTTTCATGGTTCATTGGTCAATGTTAAGTTTTCTTGTTTAAGACTGTTTCTTTGAAACAATAAGCAATAGGTCAACTATTTTTGGTTTATTGAATGATTGTAAGGTGTACATGTATTTCTCGTTTGGTTTATCTGACCTTGACCTCATTTTCTTGGATCATGTTAAGTTTATGTGTTACTTGTAGTAAAGCTTTGTATTTAGGACTATCAACATAAAATCAATGGTTAGTAAAGAAGGCGAGACATTTTAGCATGTGCACTCTTGTTAATGTTGTCTTAGTTCAGTCTGGTTATTTTATGCTTGAGCGCACTTGTCTTCCATGTCCATATCAGCACACACAAGAAACAACCTCATAGTTTTTTTTGTCGAGCCTGCCACTTTTGTCCCAGAAAGCTCGACATAGTGATCCGGCGGCAGTGGTGGAGGCGTTAGCTAACTTCTTAAAAGCTTTATATTTTCCAAGGTGGAAGACCTGGATGCTTCATACTTTGTATATAGATGCCTTATGTTATGAAGTTTCCGTCTGTCATATGTCCATTGTCCTTGACCTCATTTTCATGGTTCAGTGCACGTGACTACTTGAAAAAAAAGTTAAGATTTTTTGCAATGTTAATTTCTCTCTTATTATGAGTAATAGGATAACTATATTTAATATGTGTGTACCTTGCAAGTTCATCATGCCCGTCAGACAGTTTTCATCTGACTACGATCTCATTTCATGGATCAGTGAACAAGGTTAAGTTTTTGTGGTCAAGTCCATATATCAGATACTATAAGCAATAGGTCGTCTATATTTGGTGTATGGAATTATTTTAAGGTGTACATGTCCAACTGGCAGGTGTCATGTGACCTTGACATCATTTTCATGGTTCAGAGGTTAAAGTTAAGTTTTTGTGTTTTGGTCTTTTTTTCTAATACTATATGCAATAGGTCAACTATATTTGGTGTATGGAAATATTTTACAATGTACATGTCAGTCTGGCAGGTTTTATTTGACCTTGACCTCATTTTCACGGTTCATTGCTCAGTGTTAAGTTTTTGTGATTTGGTCTGTTTTTCTTAAACTATAACCAATATGTCAACTATATTTGTTGTATGAAATGATTGTAAGGTGTATATGTCTGTCTGAAAGGTATCTATGACCTTGACCTCATTTTCATAGTTCATTGGTCAATGTTAAGATTTCCTGGTTAAGTTTGTTTCTTAGATACTATAAGCAAAAGGTCAACTATATTTAATGCATAGATTGATTGTAAGGTGTACATGTTTGTCTGGCATGGTTCATCTGACCTTGACCTTCTTTTCATGGTTCATTGGTCAATGTTTAGTTTTCCTGTTTAAGTCTGTTTCTTAGAAACTATATTTGGTGTATTGAATGATTGTAAGGTGTACATGTATTTCCGGTTTAGTTTATCTGACCTTGACCTCATTTTCTTGGATCATGTTAAGTTTAAGTGATACTTTTAGTAAAGCTTTATATTTAGGACTATCAACATAAAGTCAATGGTCAGTAAAGAAGACGAGACATTTCAGCATGTGCACTCTTGTTTTAATTTAACATGTAGGGCTAATTCATGATAGCATTGCCTTTAAGATGTTTTGTCACATGGCTGTCTGATTTAAAATTTAGTGTGGTTGTTCCTATTATCATGCCATTATTTTGATGATATATTTTTCCAGATGTAAGAGCCCTTCAAAACTACTTGCATTTGTATGATAATATTTGTGAACTGTGACAACTCCTCTTGGTGTTTTATTCAATAGCTCTCACATTTGATAAATTGTTTGGACACAATGTTACATGTTATTGGGGATCGTCACAGTGGATACAGGCTCATCTTCCCTGTCAGTGTTTTATATCTCCTGAACCATTAGGTGAAGGGGATATGGGGAACAGAAGGGATTATGAACCATTTCCCCAGTGAAGACCAAAAAACAATATATTATACTGGAGTGTCCTGATTGCAACATTTATTACCATTCTCATCTGCCTTTTTGTTCACAGGGGTATACGGGCTCATATACCCTTTCAAGGTAACCAATCAAATTGCAGGTTAAGCCATATATTTCACTCCAGTATTATATATATATACCGGGTAACTGAGCAAATCTTTCCTCAAATTAATGTAACGATTTTACCAGATAAGAATTTACCTTTTAAATGCAGCTTCTCTTAAGTGTGTTTTGTCTAATAGTAGCTCATATATTTTGGCAAATATTTGTTTAAATGTGTACATGTATTTAATTATAACAGTATAATGTCAGTTTTTGTGATTAACAGATTTTTCAAGAAGTGTGGCCTTTAACAAATGTTATATCCCTTTAGAATACAAAACGTTGAAGACATCTCTGAACTCTTGTGACTGACTTTACTCAGTCTTTTAACATTTACCCGTTAAGATATAAATCTTTCATAGTTTTTTAGGGTACCTCTACTTTTTTCAATATCTTACAATTCTTTGACATTTGGATGCAATACCTCTATTTTTATATTACTTACTTTATTGATAGATCTGCTGTAACTGACGAGGAAGAAGAAGACAGTGCTGAATCTTCTACTGATGAAGAAGAGGAAGTTAATGTACCTCAAGGAAGTGAAGAAAGGTTCATATTTATTTTTTTTATTTGAATTTCATTCTTTACATTAAATTTTAGGATTGTGCATTATATTCATATTAAAAAATTAAAAAATGAAGGGAAAAGGATCATTTCCTGAGATCATTATGTCCATAATTTTTGAAATTTAATATAAAGAAAGAAATTAATAACAAGTACTAATCACTACTAGCTGTTTCTGTGTAATAACTTATGAACTGTTCAAAAAATCCTTTTCATATTTTAATTTGTTGTTTATTTAATAAATGTAAGAAAAAAAGCAGATATGCTGTCATTTTGACACGCTCTTGTTACATCTGCAATAACTGTCAAATAAAGCAAATCTAATGTAGCATTTTTCAGTTAAGTTTGTTATCCAGAGGATAATATTGATTTGTTGTTATGTTAATCACAGGACTAACTTTTAATAATGCTAGACTACTGATATAGATCAGTTCATCAAACTGCTGTTTTCACCTTTCATTGTCTGACACATAAATTTCTGTTGCATTTTTCTCAGCATATACCACTCATAGAAATCCTGAAATTTGGTATTTGATGCATTTTCAGATTCATCAGTCATCAAAGTTCCTGTTTACCGAATACTTATATATTTTAACACATAAGGGACATAGATATGAAATTTTTGTCGCATTTTTCTATGAAACTACAAATAAGAGCTTCTCCTAAAATTGGTTATCAGGCTTCATGAGAACATGTTTTACTGTGTGATGTGTTTTCTTATTCTTTGTTCTTCGACTTCCTGTTTACCTAATACTTACATCTGTATCAATAGTAAGCAATAGCTTATAGTTTCACTTGCAGCTTTATCATTTTTATTTTTGTATTATCTTTAATAATCAATTCTATATTTGTAGTGGAGCATCAAGTGGTGGTAAACGTAGATTTATGAGGTATTTAAAGAAGATCACAGATTCCAAGTATTTTCAGTCAGCTACAGATATGAAGTATGTGAAGAAAGCAATGGAGGAAGTATCCAATACACCTTTGGTTCTTACAGTAGAGTTACGGTTCCTGTCGGGAGTATTAGCTATCAACATTCCTCCCCCACCTACTGACAGAGTATGGTATGTTTTGAATGTGTATGTGCATGTGTGTTTTTCACTGAACTGATCATCTTGTCAGTGAATATAGAAGAGCAGAGATGGAATTTCAATGTTTTTAAAAACTCTGATCCTATTTAAAACTGAATAAATGAATCAAATGTGGCAGCCATGAAAATGTTATTTTTTTAACTGTCATATGTAAATAGTTTCCAATGTTTTTCTTATTTGCTTCCTCACACATATAAAGCTGTATGAACTCAACCAGTTCCTGAAGGTTTTGCATCACTGTCTGTGCCTGAAAAGATTTTTTACATAAAATGCAAGAAAATACTTACATGTGTCACATTACCAGAACAGGAGAGTCCAAGTGGCATGGTTAAGAAAGGGGATAGTAAGAAATATTGAGAATTATTTATGATTATTGATAATTTTGATTTTACTCAAATTGAAAGCATCTCATAGTTTTAATTTATTTTTCTATAAAATATGAGATGAATTTTTCAATATTTGAATTGTAATACATCAAATTTCTAATTATTTTAAAGGTATGGATTTAGAGGAAACCCAAAATTAACTTTAGTTGCCAAACCAAAAGTTGGCGAGAGGAGAGTTACTGTCTCACACATTACAGAATTTATAGAGAAAAAATTATCTGTTGAATTTCAGGTTAGTTACTTTAACTATTGGTTAACAAGTTATGATTGTAGAAGTCATCAAATATAAATATTGATTTAAATTTTTTGAAATTAGAATATATAAGTTAGCTGTTTAATTCGAGATTACAACTAAGACATTGACATGAAATTTCTATGCGAATCTAAAAACTAACAATTGTTATTAACAGTGAATTATAATTCTAATTGAAGATCTGTCAGTGAGAAAACAGTATCAAAAGTTCAAAACTAACAACTTTTAAAAAAGATAAAAGAATTAGTATTCAACATCAGCATATATTTTATAACTATATGTCTTCATCATTGACACTAAAACTAGATGGTCTGTATTATCAACTTAAATCTCTATTATTCAATACAGTTTTTAGGAAAATAATAAAATACATAACACAAATAGAGAAAAAAAATACATATGTATGAAGATCTCCTGTGGATTCATTGATTTTTGTGGATACCAATTTTTCGTGGATTGAGGAAAAAAATCGTTTTTTCATGGATACTTGATTTCGTAGTTTTGACAAAATCTATACGTAATCTTTTAGAAAATATGTACTTCGAGGTTTACCTATACCCACGAAATCCACGAAAATTGGTATCCTATGAACAATAACTAATCCTCAGTAATCAGTGAAATTATATTGCTGTAAAAAGTAAGTGCAATTGGTTACTTTTTTAATATTAAGAGTGTGAATGTTGATTTTTGCAGCGAGTCCTGGTCATGCCAAACCTAGACGATTTAGTTATGCCATTGCTATTCCCAGAATATGATACTGACACAGTGCCTGTTGTTCCCAAGCCTCCTTCTACTGCATCCCTGTCATCACAATCTAGTTCTCCTGTGTAATAATGTCAGCAATATTGTCACAGCAGTGCCTAAATTCAGTGATCAGCGCCATTTATGTTACCATGGAAATCCCAAGCTTAATGCACAAACAACATATTGACTGCAGCTTCCTAGTGTTTGTTATTGCAGTGCTTTTGTAGTATCTAAATATTGTTAACTGCTGAGTAGCTTTTTTACAATTATTTATAAAATTTAACATCTTCTTCAAATATCAAAAACATCAACCTTAGAATTTCATTTTAGTGCAGTACTTTCATTAGGCAGAAAATGATAACTGTCGTTCTTTGGATCTGCACGTTTATGAATTTTTTTAAATATTTTAAACTAGAAACTTTAAACTTGAGTGTTTTTATTTAGGAACTAAAAATGTAAACTATGCCAAGGTCAAAGTTTACCTGTGTTTATTGAATGAAACTTTAACAATATTTTAAAAGCAGAAGGGACATTTTAGGGGCCTACTTGGATATGTAATTCACTGAAAATAAAAATAAAATTTGTAATACCATTATCTACCACAGTTTTTTAATAGACTCAAACTTAAAAAAAAATATGAACTGTGAATTGATGAGCAAATTCAACTGAAATCCAAAGGAGATTTACCAAAAAAAAAAGGAGTATCGGTAGGTGTAATTAGGTCCCTAATTGGCCCCCAATACTAAGTCAAACATTTTAAGATGAAAAATTTTTCAAGTTGGTGCAAAGACATGTGTGAAAGGGAAAGAAAGTTATAATTGTTGAATTTTTCTCGTAAAACATTGACATTTTCATCACAAATAGGCCAAAATTAGAGGTTTTAGATAGGTTGACAAAACTGTCTGAATTTCAACTACATTTAGACCTAGAAAAAAGACAGAGCAACAGTCTAAATATTCAACGAAGATATAACAATTATTTGTTACATACAAGTTTTGTTAAAAGGCCAAATTTTGTATGTGCCTATCCAAAGTTAGGAGCCTGTCATGTGGTGGTTTTCATTGGTCGGTTTCAAGCTGTAGATTTTGTGGTTTTACATTTTGTCATGTTGGACCCTTTTATAGCTTAATATACAGTATGGGTTTTGCTTATTGTTGAAGGCTATATGAAGAGCTATGGTTGCTTCCATCCATTGGGTCTTTGGTGGATAGTTTTGGGCAATCATTATTTCTGTTGAAATAACTATACATAAGCTTCAGATGAAACTTTCTAGTTGCAATAGAACTAAATAAGTTAATACTGTGTTAAGTTTGGCTCTAAGCTTAATGAAATAGCATTTCTAGTAACTTGCTAATGTGATATCATTCTAACTTATATATATATCTTGGGCAAGGTAAACTATTTCCCTAAAACTGTAAAATTATGAATATATCCTTTGTCATTTTGAAGGTAAAAATAAAAAAAGTTCTCAAGGCTTAACTTTTGATTATTCAAATAATCAGACAAGATAAGCCTTTATATCATCTTTAAATAGACATTTAAAACATATTTTGAAACAAAAAAAAAATGTAAAAGACTTGTTTGGTATTTGATTATTCTAATGAAATCGTGTGAGCTTTTTCATGACATTGCATTTAAAAAAAAAATCATGTACATGTATGTGTATATGCATTTATTTTTTTAAAGTGGTTTTCTAAGAAAATATGTACTCCAGGGAATATGATAAATCACAGTATATGTGTTAAGGCATATCTATTTTGTTGAATGTCATCTTGAAACACACAATTTTCTTACTAAAAATGGTGCACAAAAAGAACTAGAGGTGATTATAAATAATTGAATGTATTTTAGCATTATGTGATTCATAATAATTGTCACCATCTGTTAATATCCTTGACCCTTACTGAATAACAGCCTATAGTATTAAAACACATCTCACCATTGCATCCAAGATCAATTACAGTATCTGTTCATCATTATATAAATTGGTGCTTGGTTTTATTAAAGATTTTTACAAGTGTATGTGAATAAATTATTGATTTCATAAATCCTTATAATGATATTGAAACATCAAATAATAGATCATTTTACTGTAATACATATTGGAAGTGCATTTATAGACAGAATGGAACAATCTACACAATTTACCTTTTACCTCTCTTTTGTGCAATTTGTATTAGCATTGGCTCATCTCATTTCCATGGAGATTATTTGGCCCTGCCCCCCAAGTCATGGTCTATTGACGTTGAAACTTTTGCTTAGTTTACATGTATTACTTTGTGATTAGGTCAGTTTATGGGGAACCAATAGTGGTAGGTCAATGATATTTGGTATTCAGTTGTATAAGCATTGACATATCTCATTTCCACAGAGATTATTTGACCTGACCCCCTCAGTCATGGTCTATTGACTTTGAAACTTTTGCTTAGTTTACATGTATTAGTTTGTGATTAGGTCAGTTTATGGGGAACCACTAGTGGTAGGTCAATGATATTTGGTATGCAGTTGTATAAGCATTGGCATATCTCATTTCCACGGAGATTATTTGACCCCGCCTCCTTAGTCATGGTCTATTGACTTTGAAACTTTTGCTTAGTTTACATGTATTAGTTTGTGATTAGATCAGTCAAAGATGAACCACTAATGTAAAGTCAATGATATTTGGTATGCAAATGTATGGGCATTTGCAAGTCTCATTTCCATGGAGATTATATAGCTACACCCCTCATCAGGGTTCAGTGACTTTGAAACTTTACATAGTTTACAAGATAATGTTTGTGTTTAGGTTTGTTTAAAGGGAACGACTTATGATAAGTCAATGGTATTTGGTATGCAGTTGTATTAGTATTGGCACATCTCATTTCCATGGAGGTTGTTCAGCCCTGTACCTTCAGTCATGGTTTGTTGACTTTGAATATTTGCATTACTTACATGTAATTCAACATTTGCATTAACAAAATAACAAAATGACGAGACATATCTCTGTTTTAACAGTTTATCTTATACACTGCTGTTGGTGTGATATGAATTTTAAGTTTTATGATGTAGTTTGTTTTACCCTCAGTGTAATTCTTCTAGAAAATTTCCACTTTAAGAACCTAATTTGTTATTCGAGTTTATAATGTTATATTTGGTATAGGTTATCTGAACATTTATTAATGATTTTACTCATTTTAATACAAACATTTTATATAACAGGATTATTGTGAGAATATTTATGAAAATCGACTCAAGTAGAACATTGTACATTTTTAGCTTGCTAGAGCAAATCATATCTTTCCAGGAATATTAAATAAGAAATATGTGTGCAACATCCCTTTTATTATATCAGCATGCACATCAAAGTCTGACATTTAAATGTCTTTCTAATTTCCTCTGTTATCATTTTATCTCCCCATGAATTTTACCCTGTCTCTAAAGATGTTTAGTTTAAACAATATTTTATTTCAAAAGTGCACAATATACAATTATACAATATAAATTCTGGGATTCGGAAACAAGAATAAAGATGTTTGTACTCAAATATAATCCAAACCTTGAAAACAATGTTCCTTTGACAGTTTAATGTTTGTATCATATCAACATTATCTGTTGGAAAATGAAGCTATTTTGTAAATTAATTTTTCTTTATTGCTATGAATGGACTTGCATGTGAAATATAAGACTGGTACTATTTACATTTAATACAAAACACACAAAAAAAAGTGCTTCCATTTTTAAAAAATGAAGCTTTTTTGTAAATATATTTTACTGCAGAAGATACTTACCCCATCTACGCACATTTTCTGTCTCCTTTTGGAGTTCATCTAATTCCCTGAGTTATTGTTTTTAACTTGATTCTAATGTTAATGGGTTTGTGAGATCTGGATAGGTAGACTACTATTGCCTTCTAACAACTAAGCTACTTAAATCTTACAGTATTATTTTGATTTAATTAGCTAGTTATTGTTTTGTTTTATAGAAAACTTTTGTTTTTCCAAACATGGATGACCAAGTTCTCCCAACCTTTGTACAGTATCTGCCAAAAGGTTCCCATGGTAATGAATATACAGAAGTTGACCAAAAACACTCTCAGACATAGAACAATGTTGACCATTTTATTGATAGAAAATAAGTATGATATGCTAAACTTACAGATACAACAAAAATTTGTCAATCAATTAACAAACACATTTTTTATAAATAAATTTTGGCATGATTGTTGGAAACTTTTTAAAAAATTTAAATAAAAACTGTTTCAATTAAAACTTGTCTCACACCAACCATAATATATTTCTGTACTTTAGTTTTCACTACTGATGAAAAATGTATAAATTTGTATGAAAAGACCTAAATATGATAAAAATGGACCACTATGGAGTAAGCTTTATTTTTAATTGGCCCCACTTGTTAACAATCAGTAGTTAAACAAACAGAGATAACCAAGTTTTACAATAAAAACAAGTTTTTAAAAGTCACTGACAACTGCAGAAAACTAGTTTGTGATATGAATGTTCAATGGGCTTTTATGTTATGCCTCAGTCTTTAAGTGGCCTGTGAATATATTTTAACTTATTTATATTAATTATGTTGAAGAAATATAACATACACATATTCCATTATATCATATAGTTTTACAAGTCAATCATTTCACCATTCAGAACTACAGCAGTTGTCAAGACTTTTGTGTTGTATCTGTGAATATTGAGCTGATTTTTTTGTGTGTAGCTGTGAAGTAATAAGTAACAGATCAACTTTGTGTTTCAGTTGATTGATATACCGTAATTGGCTGTGTATAGTCTGCAAATTCTTGTGAGATTTCACACCTGTACTTCGAAATGATACAATAATGAAAAAAGTCTTTAGATACTATAATTCTGTATGATACACACCCCTCTACCAATTATATGTCTTTGGTAAATAAAAGTGTGTTTAATACACGTCCTAATACAGTGCTTTTGAAGGAAAATGAGACTTTTCATATCTTACTTGTTTTTTCAGGGGGCGCTGATGTCACAGAGACATTTTATAATTTTTATTGTATCAGTTGCTCCTCTTTGTGCTAGGAGGCACACTAGGTCTTGATAAAATCATTACCTATTTGCAAAAAAGTAGTCTTTTTAAAGGAAAAATAATATGTCTATAAAACTGTCTGCATTTTCAAACAAACATAGTATTTAATTAAAAAATATAAATGCAGCTACAAGGTGTATACTTTAGTCATTCTTTGTTAACAGTAGTTATTATTTGTTATAATTTTTGTAAATATAAGTTGTATATTTTTTGTTCTGTTTAAATTATTTTGTTTGTTTTATATTCATGGAAGTGAATTTTTTTTTGTTGATTTTATATTTACAGTAGATAATAATCAATCAAAGTGATTTTTGTTGATTTTTTTATTTCATGACAAGGTAACAGGTGGGTATAATGTTATAGTTAAGAAATATATATATATATATACTTAAAACACGGATAATATAGCATTGATCTATTTTTAACAAAGTAGCATCATTAAGTAGATCAATTTATATTTTCAAAATTTATTTAAATAACAGTCTAATCAAATTAAATCCTTTAATTGCTCCTGTTCTGATATGTCACGTATCAAGGTATCAGAACGGTAGCAACTAAACATTTCAATTTTAATTAGATTGTTTAAATAATTAGTAGTTCTTTATTTTTTCCTTTTGCTTTTTTCATTTGAAT